CGGGTGGTTATCGCCATTCCTCTGAAACATATGTTGATACTTTCATTTCTTGTTTATCAACGTGAGATAGTATCTACTGAAAGATGAGAAACTTAATTTCTTTTATCCATCCACTTCTCAGTTTTCCCAGTTGATACTGTTTTGGTTTTTCTGGTGATCATGTATAATCTTAGAGTATGCTTCAACTCTATATTTTGTTCCATCAATTTTAGGCAGTATATCTTGATCTTTTTGCTATATTGAAGTGAGAAAGATCTGTGACATTTTCTTCCACGTCTCTCTGCTGCCTCAATAGTCAGACTTCCATTTTTTTTATATTATCAGTGGTAATATTAGTCAGATTCTCTTGTATTGTTGTCTTGTATTGTTGTCTTCCAAGTTTTGTTTATATGTTGATTCTACAAATTAAAACAGCATTTACATTATTCCAATTATTAAATTGCTTCTTACTGAAGAACTGAATAGCTCTACTTATTGACAAAGAAAGGGTAATCTTATGTTATTAAAACTGAAAGATGAATGTTCCAAGTGTCAAGGTCAAATGGCTTCCTTAAACTCCATCTTCAAGACTTTCTATTAAATTTAATTTGGTCAATGATACCTTTAATTTCCAAGAACTCTTTATTTGTTCTTGTTTCATAGCCACCTATTCTTTGGCTTCTTGACTCTGAAGATGTTAGTTTTTTTGTTGTGGGTTGTTGTTTATTGGTTTGTTTGTTTGTTTGTTTTCCCTCTGTTCTCTTACCTGTTTTCTTCAGGAGTTAATTGTTAAATCTGTTCCACTTGGACCTTCTCATTTTTGTTGTTGGTTTAATGTAAATTTTCTGGGATTTTTTTTTCCCGTATGTGTGAATGATGAAAAAGGTTGGTCAATATTAGTAGCATGATTTTCCACTGTAGTATTTGACTTCTTTCTTGAATGAAATGATGAATGACAGGGTCTATGTACATATGAGCTATTCTAGGGTACTATTTTAGGTACATTTAGATATTTTCTTCATCATGTATTGTTTGAAATTTGGCTTTTAAAAATATTACTTTAAAATATCATATCTTATTTACTAAGTGTTTTGGTGCACCCTCAAATTTTGTGTGCTTGTTTTCACTGTAGTGTCTGCTTTGGGCCAGGGGCCTGAACGGTTACATGTAATTTCCAGATATGGTCAGCAGAGGGCAGCAAAGGGTAGTGGCGTGAGCGCTTTCTGCCAAGGTCTGGGCATCCCTCTTTTACCTTTCTTTATAGAGGTAAAAGTCAATTCGTGGTAGAAAGTCCAGAGTGCCAGAGTCAGGAGAGAAATTACCTATAGGGATACTGACCCAGGATGGGGATCGAGCTGAGGAGGCACTGGAAAGATTTAGCCACAATTCACAGCTTTGGTATCATAGAGATTAGAACCACTAGACATCTGGAGAACCATTAGAGAGCACTTTCACAGTCCTGATCCTACTCCCAGTCTGTCTAAAGCCCAAGGTCTCTCTCCTTCAAGTAACAGGAATCTCCTATCCACCTTGAAACTGATGCACACTTACTGTCTGAGAGTTAATACATGCTATGGGCAGTGGTTATGAGTTCACAACTAGCCATTTCAGGGAGGAGAGATTGAATGGGTTAGGGACACTATAAATATGCAAATGTAGGCAGTTGATGAAAACACATATGTGTCAATTAAGTAATTTGAGAGCCAACCTACATCAGATGTGGCTTAAAATATATTTTCTTTCCTCCTCCAGAAGGGAAACATTGTCTAGGCATGGAAAAACGATATGACTTTGAAATTAGACAAACTTGACTCTATGAATTATTAGGTATGTGGTTCTCAGTTACTGAATTTTATTGAGCTTCAGTTTCTTTATCCATAAAAAATGGAAATAATGATTTTTATCTCATAAATCTGCTGCAAGGAAATGAGATGATGTCCGTAAACTGCCTGGCAAAGAACTTGGCAGTGTGTAGTTATTCAATCGATATTAACACCTGGTGTCTCTCCCAGGCTTTGGTAATGGCAGAATACATGGATGGACTAGAGGGAATAATGCTTAGTGAAATAAGTCAGAGAGAGACAGAGAAAGACAAATACCATATGATTTCACTTATACATGGAGTTTAAGGAACAAAACAAATGAATAAAGAAAAAAAGACAAACCAAAACACAGACTCTTAACTATAGAAAACAAACTGATGGGTTACCAGAGGGGTAGGGGGATGGGTGAAATGGATGAAGGAGATTAAGGGTATACTTCTCATGATAAGCACTGAGTAATGTAGAGAATTGTTGAAGCACTATATTGTACAATTCAAACTAGTATAACACTGTATATTAATTTTACTGGAATTGAAATAAAAATAAAATAAAATTTTAAAAGAAAGAAAGTAAATTAAGAAAATAGTCCTGTCTTTGCAAAGTGCTTAAAAATGTAATTATTGGCACAGGGTCACCTTATACTATGTCTTCTATTTGATATTTAAGATGAAAAGTTAAGTGTTCGAGGAAATAAATGAAAACAGACCCTATCAATGTTATTCTGTTTAGAGCTCATTCGTCATATTAAAATAAATAGCAATGGTATTTTGGAAGAAATTAAGCTTTAGCTATTCCATGTACGGGTAACTATTACGTGACTAAGGAAAACTCCCTCGATCGTTGTAAGAAAAACTTTTCTCGCCTTTGCGCCACTACAAGGGGGAGATGGTATCAGAACACTACATCTGTTTCAATGAGTTCCTAAAATACTGTCACTCACAATCCTGGTTACATAAAAGAATCACTCAAAAAAAGTTTTTAAAAATACAGGTTTCCCAGAGCTGATGTGTCAGAACCTCTGGGGGGGAAGTGCCTGAAAAGCTCCCTCAAGCGAGTCTAATGCATATCAGAATTGATAAACAGGGACTGGATTCTAGGAGGAGAGAAGTTTTCCTGGTCTTTAAATCTCTAAAATCTCTGAAGGGGAGAAGCAGGAAATGGGACGTAATCTGGGAGTTGGGGAAGGTGCAGAGATAAGTCTGCCTATGTTTCTTACCTTAAATAGATTTTGACAGATGCTCGAGGAAAGGCCAGAAAGTGTTGCCCAATGAGCCTCCATGGGTCTAAATACAGCCAAGCATGCCCAGACTAGCACTTGTTGCCTGTAAAAGTGGTGAGAAGTCTGGATGCCACTATCTACGTGCCAGTTTGGTTTTAAGATAAGAGGCCTTACCACAGTCTAAAAGGACCACAAGGACCTGTGCTCTGGCCTCGAGCTACCTCTGCAGGCATGTCTCACTCTCCTGTACCTTCTGCCTGTGTCTCCAATCTAGCAAACTCTTTCGTGTCTCTGAAACGCATATATTTGCATTCTGTCCCTTCAGCTGAAAAACGAACCTTACCCTCCAACATACTTCTCTTGTCTCCTCTTCCCTTCCCCCTTCCTTCCCCTTCCCTGTCCTCTCACTGAGTAATTCCAAATTGTTCTTTAAAGCTCCATTCCAAAGAGCTCTTGCTTGCCGTCTTCACAATTGAAATCAGGTGGTTCGAGTCCCTCTTTTAATTTCTCATTTCACTCTTTTTCTCTGTGGTACTTTCCAGAGTCTGCTGTTACACAGTTATTGTTGGGATTCTGTTTAATTTCTGCTCCCCTGCCCCCTCATTTAAATCCAGGTTTTGTGAAAGTTGGGCCTGGGTCCCTATTGCCCAGACCTATCAAGTGCCTTTCTCCTAGTACAGGTTCAAACACTAGCTGTTGAATGAATGAAGTAAATGAGAGACAGACTATTTTAGGTCATGCTTTTTCCCCCTCCATCGGTGCCAGAAAACTATTTCATTCACTCATTCAATAAAATGTTTGCATTGCTCCAATGTACCAGTGCTCGTGAGAAGTAAATGATAAATCAGATATAGACTTTTCCCTTGGGGTCCATAGAGTCTAGTGGGGAATAAAAGACATGTATTCAAATACCTGTCATAAGACCCTGTAAGGGAAACCATAAACTTTGTCAGTAGGATCAAATTGCAGTCTTCCACAGTTGTCAAAGGAAAGAGACTGTCCCTTTGAGAAGACATTGGGGGAGGAGGAGCTTACAGGAAACTGTGTGACCTCCTGAGTCAGCTGGATTTGAATGCCTCATGTTATATCATGGCTGCCTGGATTTAAAGTATCTAACCTGTCTGTGCAGCAGCCTCCTCACCTGTAAAATGGTCAGTTTTCTAGTGGAAAGGGAACACCATCTTTCATAAAATGTTTTTGAAATTTAGAACTACAGGTTCTTATGGCACTCAAGATGTCCAGATGGCAAATACACACATGAAAAGATGTTTAGCATCATTAGCATCATTAGAGAGGGCAGGGGGAGGGGATACAGGGTTCAAAGAACCCGGAGACCTGAGCAGCCTCCAGCAGCTGGGGAGGGGTCTCATGGCAGGTGGAGGTTTGCTATAGCTCTGACTCCAGCAACCAGTTGTAATACCAGTCGTGAGGTGGGATGCTTACCCTGTGCCCTGCAGACCTTAGCTGTGCCTTTGAGTACCCCGTTGTCCTAGTGAAGCAGCTGAATTAGTGATAGCCAAAACCTGGAAACGATCCAGAACTCCTTCACCAATTGGCTAAGCAAACTGTGATACATCCATATCATGGCATACTACTAAGAGACACAAAGAAATGAACTATGCCTCCAGCCATCTGGATGAATCTCCAATTACGTTGAATGGAAGGAAGCAAATCTAAAAATGTTACACACTATATGATCCCCATTTTTATAACATTCTTGGACTGGCACAGTTACAGAAATGGAGAACGGATTTGTGATTGCCAGGGATTAAAGAGGTGGTGGGCATGGAAGGAAGTCTGTGTGGCCGTAAAAAGGTGACACGAAGGACCTTTATGGTGATGGAAGTGTTCTGTATCTTGATTGTATCAATGTTAATATCCTAGTTATGATACTGTACTATAGTTTAGAGAGATATTACCATTAGGGGAAAATGAGTAAAAAACTGATACAATCTCTCTGTATTATTTCTTACAGCTGGATATGAATCCACAGTTAGCTCAAAATAAAAAATCAAAAGGTAGAGGCCAAATCAGGGAAACAAGTGTGTCAGTTTGTCAGTTATGACCTAAGCCTTAGAACCGTGACATCATAATGGCAGTGATCTTGACTACTGTGGAATCCTCAGGCTTCAAGCATTTTACAGTACTCCGCCACGTGCTGTAGACTCACTTCGATTTTCAGTGCCAAGAACTGAAGAAAAATGGATGTTCACATCAATCAGAAAGCATGCTGAACTTTTAGGTGGCCATTCAAGGCTTCACCTTATAAGGTAGTCTTTTAATATACTATTTTTGATCATCAAAACAGACTGACAGTAACTGGAAGTGTTGTGCTCTTTTGTTTCTTCTAATGCATATGGACTAATTCGTAACTTCAGCACTGATTTCATGAAAAGCTACTCATGTTCATAAGATTCAGTGCTGCTGAGCAGAAGGGAGGCAGCTTTACATTCTGGGGGGAAGACACTTTCTTGGCTCCATGAGAGAAAATTTTCTGGTCTGTGAAATAATCTATCCTATTTATGAAAGAATTTTTGCGTTCTGTACAATTTAGCTGTTTTACCCATGATGACCAGAAAGTCCTGTCAGAGTCATAGCTCAACCAAGTAGTAGCTAAACTCTTATGTTTAGAAACTTTTTGATGTTTCCGTGATTTTTGCTGGTGTTTGAGAATTTCCCCCAAAGTTTGAATGTTGATTAAGGTAAGGCTGGGGTCAATTTTCCAGGATCTTCAGTTATCTACATTTTATGTTAACATGAAGCCAAGTTGTACTTAATTCTTCACAAACATCATTTTGTTTTATATTAGGCCACAAATTGTCTTGTTTTTTGGTAGTGGTCTACCTTCTTATAATACTCTCTACCTTTGGCCTCTTGGTTCTCCCCTCCCAAATAACAGCTCGTGATTAGCTCTGTGGCTTTCTCCTCCCCACCTCTAAAAGTTGGCATGCCCCAAGGGCTTTGTCCTTGAAACTGTCTCCATCTGTATCAACTCCCCAAGTGATCTTATTTATTTTGATAGCTTCCTATAACTTGGTGATTCCTGAGTTTGAGCTCTGGAGTCTTGCTTTGGAGGTTGAGACTAATTTTTAGTGTTGTGTGAACCCTGACATTTAGCATAAAACTATATTGTATGTATTTGACTCAGTAACTAGCTGCTCCATGGTGTTTGATTTATTTGCAGGGAAAGCTCTTCTGTTGACATGGACGCCCACAGCGAAAACACTACATCATCTGAGGGTGCCACCCATACCCTGCTTATCCATGGCCCTGTTGAACTCAAGCAAGGCTGGAGGAGGCAGAAACGGCACCTCTTCTTGTTCAATGATTTGTTGCTGATGTCTAATACGGAGTATGTATACTATGCTATACACCTTTCTGATTATCATAAAGTTACATTTCCATTAGCCTTTACTGTAAGAAAACATTGTGTTTTTCTTTTGTTTATGCAAGTGTTTTGATCCTTCATTCATTCAATTATGGAAGTCTTGTTTTGTACTGTGCACCTGTAGAGAAGACAGTTGAGAACGTGACAGGTGGTGTCTCTCTTGCCTGGGACCTACAGATAAATGATAAAAATAAGAGGGGGGGATGTATAGATTGTGATTAGTGCTTCCGGCAGAAGGGTGCCACGTGGAGAAGATGGGAAGGTATTAGTGAGGGGTTGTCTAGGAGGACCTCTCCAAGATGGCAGCATTTAAACTAGATTAGATGAGAAGCAGTCACAATCCTAGACAAGATGACTGAAACTTCTAGGATGATGGGACTAAGCGGGCCTAAGTGGGTGCCAAACTGGTCCCTTGCGGGGAGCGGCTCAGGGAAGGTGGATTTGACTGGAGCCTAAAGTATGGAGCATGAGATCAGATGTATTCAGGGATCCAGTCAACAGGGTCTACACAGGCCATGGCAAAGGGTAGAAATATTATCCCAAAAGATTTTTTGTTTAATGTTTTTATTTATTTTTTGAGAGAGAGAGAGAGAGAGAGAGAGTACATGCATGTGTGTGGGTGCGTGTGTGTGTGTGTGTGTGTGTGCGTGTGTGCATGTGTGAGAGAGAAAGAGAGAGCAAGCAGGGGAGGGGCAGAGTGAGAGAAGGGGACAGAGGATCCTATGCAGGCTCTGTGATGACAGTAGAGAGCCCAATGCAGGGCTCGAAGTCACGAACTGCAAGATCATGGCCTGAGCCAAAGTCTGGCACTTAACCATCTGAGCCACCCAGGCACCCTGACAGTATATATTTTTATTTAAGGTTGAAAATAACTTAAATATTTCTGATGCAAGCTTATGTTTTGTTTTTGGTTTGTCTCTTGTAGGAAAAAACTGTATAACTATTTTTATCTGGGAAGCCTCAGTGGCCCCGTTGGTTAAGCATCCGACTCTTGATTTCAGCTCAGGTCATGATCTCACAGTCATGAGATCAAGCCCTGAGCCAGGCTCTATGCTGGGCATGGAGCCTCCTTAAGATTCTCTCTTTCCCTCTCCTTCTGCCCCACTTGTGTTTGTGCACTCTCTCTCTCTCTCTCTCTCTCTCTCAAAAAAAAGTAAATAAATAATGTATTGTGTATTTTTGTTCAGCCCTCAAATACTTTTTGAAGTAAGCAAGACATAAATGAATAATTAACTGTAACAATAACCATAAAATTATATGTAATAATAAGTCACAAATCTAACAATAATAAATGAATTAAGGGTTTTCTTTAAGTGCTTTAAAATACATACTCTCTACTTAATACTCAACATTCAGAAAAATGGCTAGGGAAAGTGTTTTGAGGGTTTTCCTAGGCCAGACTTTGCTCAACACACGCTTCGTAAAAGCCCATGTAACCATTTGCTGGGCTGTGCACAGAGGGTAGTAGAGATGAGGGAGGCACACCGTGCCCTGGAGCAACGAGCCCTGGTGTCTCACGAGCACAGCTGCCCCCATCACATTTATGAAACAAACTAACAGACGTCTTGTGTGGGTATTTTTTTTTCTAGTTATAAAAACACCTTTAAGATAAAAAATCAAATACCACTGAGCACCATGTGGATAACCAACTGTACGGACAAAGTGGGAGATACCAGCATCAATGCTGAGAGGTCCTTCATCTTGGGCTGGCCCACGGTGAACTTTGTGGCCACCTTCAGGTAAGACTTACAGCTTGGTCTTGTATTTACATGGGTTAGAAAGGAAAACATTTTAACCTGATTGTCTATCAAGCCAGTGACTCACTTTTGAACCTCCATCAATGACACTTGTTTGCCTTGTACTTTCTCCAAAAAGGTTTTTATGTGCAAATGTAAGGAATAAGATAACATAGAGTGGGGACTACTGGAGTCACTTCCTTTGGTTTTTATCAGTGGTCTTTCAAGTGGGCTCTAGGAGCCACTTGAGGAGTTGGGTGTTCTGGGTATGTGGAAAGAGAATCAAGAGAGTGTGGTTCTAGGGCCTCACTCCAATATCCTGCCCCCTAATTCCCAGGGAGTTCTCTGTGTTTGTAAATCACAGGAATGTTTCTCTTGAGCAAGTACTATTAAATAGTCCAATTAAATTTGAAAAATTGCTTTTATATTCCCAAGTTAATCCATTTAAAAATAAGATGTAATTACTACAAATAAATTAATTATGCCATCGAATATGAGATTGCCTGAATTGCCGTGTACAGATTATCTTAGTTGGTATCTATAGAGAGGTGACAGTCTAAAGCAAAAGTTTGATTTCATGGAGTAGGGATTAGTTGTGCAAGACACATTTTCAGGCTGACATGAGGATGGGGAATGTGGCATCCCAAGAGACATTCCTGGTTTTACAGGGGTCATGCAACATTTACATCTGTTGTTTGAAACAACCACACCCCAAGTCTCATTCTTGCTTTACACAATGAGTGTTCATCACATCAACACATCACCCTTCTTTCTTCTCCTCGCCCCACTCCACCAAAATCTCACGTGTCATCATAAAGATGAGACAACGAAAATGTTTACAAGTTGTTAATATATTAAATTCCATAATGCAGCTGTTGACATAATGAAAAATTTTCAAAACTTACTGGGAAGAAATGTGAATGTATATCATCTTTGCATGTCTTCTTTTCCATGACATATTTCTGAAAAGATTATCAGTTCCTATTGCTTAATGGCCTCTCCATGTTGCAAATGGAAGGAAATAGTTTCAGTTGATAATATATAAAGTCTTTGATTAGGGAATTTCCAAGAAACTTTTTTTTCCTAATGAGAGAGAAAATGCGGAAGCCAGGTTTGCACGTTAGGTTAGTTAAAAAGCTGTATAAATATATATAAGGCATTTATAAGAATGCCTGGCACCTAGTGCTTTTGTTACTTGTTATTATTACTGTTCTGCAGATTGGCATACATATTTAGAAGCTATGTCCATGCAGGTTGGGATGCTAAATGGGTGTTCCATTTTTCTGATGAAACAGGTCTTGAAAATGGTGATGGAGGGAGTGGGGAGCAGTGTTGCTGGTAGGAGTATAAGATGTGGCAGCCACTGTGGATAGTTTGATGGTTCCTCAATAAGTTAAACAGAATTATCATATGACCCAGCAATGACACTTCCAGATATATACCCAAGAGCAATTAAAAACATGTTCATACAAAAATTGATACACAAACGTTCATAGCAGCATTGTCGATAATAAGCAAAAAAAAAAAAAAAAAAAAAAAAAGGAAACAACCCAAGTGTGTATCAGCAAATAAACAAAATGTGGCATAAGAGCTGGAGACAGTGGGAAATGGAGAGCGACTACTTAATGGACACTGGGTTTGCTTTTGGGTGATTAAAATGTTCCAGAACTAGATAGTCATGATGGTTGCACAATAGTGAGAAGGTACTAAAGGTCACTAATGTTCAATGTTATGTGTAATTTACCACAATAAAAAAAAAAATGCTAGTAAGTGATAAGTCCACATATGAATGGGGTTTAAAACATTTGCATTTTTTTGCTACTAAATCCTAGGGAAACTTTAGCACAGAAAATAACCTTTAGTAATTTAGCCGTAGATGGACTGATTTTCTCAGAGGATCATAGTAATGAAGAATAAGTTTTCTAGGAACTAATTTAACATATTACAATATGCTAATATGTATAAAGAAATAAAATATTATGGGTGTTTTTTCCTAAAAAGATATTCTTATTTCTAGGCCAAGATAGTTCCATCCAAATGCCAAATTTCTTAAGTACGATTTAATTTGAATGATAATGTTTCTTTATATTTGAATAGCACTTGCAGGGGCAGGAACACTCTGAGGTAAAATTAACTTTTTCCAGTTCTGGAAACTGAAACTCAGAGTGGTTAAGCAACACGCCCATGATCGCATAGCTTGCATCACATAGTTACAATTAAGCGTTTAGATTAGAAACCAACCTTTCTTCCCCTTTAGGATCTATTTCCCATTATTGTAATACTGCTCATAAATGAGCAGGGTCCATCAAAAGCTCGATTGTGAGGAGAGTACAACTTACACATGCAACCACATCAATAATAACTGGCTGCTGCTATTTTTGTCTGAATGGTGATCTTAATAGTTTGAGTTTGATTTTTATTCCCATTTCTTAAATTGCAGGTCTTCCGAACTAAAGGAAAAATGGTGCTCTTTCCTTCAAAGGTATTTTGTCAGTATACATATTTTAAATCTTTAACCCATGATAAAAGAATGCAAATTTCTTCAAAATCATGCCCTCAAACTCTTCTCCTTCTCCTTAGTATTATTAGACTATTCCAAATAATTTCTTATTTAGATTTACCCTGGCTGCCACTGCAGATAATGTGCTCTCATCTATGTATATTTTGCTTATTTTTGATGAAGTTCTGGTTATCACTCTCATCTTCCCCTTCTTTCCAACCTAATGATTGGAGCTAGCATTATTCCCAAAACATACATTTCCTTAAGTGCAGATTACTCACTGATTGTCAAAGCAACTGCTAATTCCTGCCCTGGAGCCCAGGAAGGGGCTGGGCCCTCCAGTCTAGGTAGGAAAGCTTTGACCATTGGATCTGCTGCTCAGATCTCACATCATGACAGCGATCTGTTGTTTTCTGAGTCATGTCTCATTTTCCTGAAATATTTTTGCATGTTTTCTTCCAGCCCATAATTTGATTTGGCTATTTATTTATATGCTTTTTTTTTTAATGTTTATTTATTTTGAGAGAGGGAGAGAGAGAGAGAGAGAGAGAGAGAGACAGTGAGTGGGGAGGGGCCGAGAGGGAGGGAGAGAGAGCATCCCCTGAGCAGGTTCCATGCTGTCAGCACAGAGCCCAATGCAAGGCTTGATCTTATAAACCACGAGATCATGACCTGAGCCAAAATCAAGAGTCAGATGCTTAACCAACTGAGCCACCCAGGTGCCCCTACATGCTTTTAAAAAATGACACAGTATGTTGAAAATATTAGCAACATAGATTGATTTGAAAGTAAGCTAATAGCTAATTCATCCTACTCAATTTGGGTTATTATTGAATTTGATTAGGTACATCAATCTAGCCAAGGAGAAGGACCAGCCAAAAAGCATTCCCCTCCAAATCTTCACTGGAGACATTGAGAACTGTGGCGGTGTAAGTGTTTTTAAGACTAAAAATTAAATTCCAAGTTCCTGATTCAGACAGAATGAAAGAGATGGAGATGGAGGGGTAGATAGGGAGGGAGGGAAGGAAAAAAAAATGAGGTAGAAAGGAGAAAAGAAAAGAGAGGAAGAGAGAGTATTTAAAAAAGTGCCATGTGGGAAAATGGATTTCCCTGTCTACACGTATGTCTTTGTATACATAAAAAGTGAATCTTAAGTAATATGAAGCAAGAGGAATCCATGCTAGCTACAGTGCATAAGCATGGAAAAATATTGCATGTTAAATGCCCATAATATTTCTCTGAATCCTTCTAATAGCAATTACAGTGGCTTCTAGTAAAGTGATTTTCACACGCAGGTATATCTTACTAGAATTAAAACATTTTGTTCCAATGGTCACTACTTATGTACAGAATGGTTTGGATTGTTTCCACAGTTCTTTTTTCCCCATGATGTTTTATTTGGTATAATTGTAAACTTACAGAAAAGTTGCAAAAATAAAAATAGTACAAAAACCAACCCCTGTACTCTTTACCTGGATTCACCTATCAGTAACACTTTACTCCATTTGCTTTACCATTTCTTTTCTTTCTCTGTCTCTATTATGTGTATGTATACACTTATTTTTGAGGCTCATACAAACACCATGGCCCTTTATCCTTAAACCTAAGTATTTCCTAAGAATAAGGGTATTCTCTTCTATTACCACCCTGTAGTTATCACCTTTAGTAAATGTAACATTGGTATAATGCGTTACCACGCCATTAGTGTTCCCATTTTGTCAGTTGACCTTGATAACGTCTCCTTTCTAGTACAGGATCCACTCAAGAGTCAGGTATTACATTCAGTCGTTATGTCAAATGCAGGGGAGCTTTGAAAGGTCTTTCGTTCCAAGGAATATCAGGATTGACTTGAGCTCAGAGGGATGACACTTTTAAGGGATCAGCAGATTTCTATCTCACTTTTTTTATGCTACTGGAGAAAAAAAAAAAATCAAACCAATTGCCCCAGTTATTTGTATAAAGTTTGATTTCTGAAATTGTAGTGCAGTAGCCAAGACATTTACAATGATATTTTTGGGTATTTTTAAATGACACTTTTTTTTCTGTAACACTTTACAGTAGCTCGAGATCACACAAAATAATATTTGAAGGTGGAAAAAGACGTAGTTGAAGACAGTTACTTCCTGGCCAAAGGAAAGGCCATGCAAATATTTTGATCTGTTTCCAAGCACCAGACAGATGCACTGAATGGAGAGGAGAGCAGAGACACAGCAGAGCACATTCTCGTCTCTGCCCGCTTTGATTTCAACTGTGGGAGTGGGTTACACTCAGAATGCTTCATGGAAAATTACTTTGAAATTTTTTAAAAATCAACTTATGTATAATTTACACAAAAGAAACATTTCTAATGGTCTTCATTCATTCCTGAGATCCAAGTTTCCCCCTAACACAGTTTCATTTCATCCTAGAGAAACGATCCTCAGCATTTCTTGTTGTGCATATGTGGTGTAGGCAGATTTCCTTCTTTTATCTGAAAATGGCTTTATTTCACCTTTACTCTTGAGAGATAGATTTGGGGATACAAATTGTTTGCAAATTGTTTTCTTTCAGCCCTTTCAAGGTTTTGCACTCTCTTTTCATTTCTGTGCTTTCTGATGAGTAGTCTGGGGTCATTCAAACACCAATCCTCTGAAGGTCATTTGTCATTTTTCTTTATCCACTTTCAAGATTTTCTCTTTATTTTTGGCTTTTCGTAGTGTGGCTACGAAGTATCAAAGCATGGTTTTCTTGAATCTGTCCTATTTGGCATATTCTGAACTTCTTGAATTTATAAACTTGTCTTTCATCAAACTTGGGGACTTTTAGTCATTATTACCTCAAATATTTTCTTCCCCATTTTCTTTCTTCTCTCCTTCCGAGATTTCAATTATATGTGTATTAGACCCTTTCATACTGTTCACAGGTCCCTCAGACTCTGTTAATTTTTTTCAATCTTTCTTTCCCCTTTTCTTCCTCAGACTGGATAATTTCTATTATCTATTTTCCAAAATCACTGACTGCCATTTGTCGTCCCCATTATACGATGTTCCCTAGCCAGTAAATTTTTTCTTTAATATATTTTTCAGATAAAAAAATTTCTATTTTTAAATATATTCAATTTCTATGCTAAGATGCATCCCTTTTTGTGTATTATGAGCATATTTTCATTTGTATCATTGAGCATTATTGTAATTGCTGTTTTTGCCTAACAATCTGAATATCTAGATCACCTCAGAGTTGGCTTTAGCTCTTGAGAATTGATCACATTTTCCTGGTTTTTCATATGAGAAAAGAAGGCAACATTTCCCTTTCTTTTAAATAATTTCAAAAAACAGTTTATTTCTTTAAAAGTTATTTGTTTATAAAGAGCTCTATCTACTGAAATTTGTGTTTTGGAGAACATATGACATGCAGGAAAATTTACATACATCCTTGGAATTACTATTTTGAACACAGTGTGTTCCTTATGCCTTGAAAACCATTATCTGGCAGACCAAATAAATTAAGGAGTGATATTAGCATTTCAAAAGAGATCTTTTTTTTTTTTTACATTAAAAAGATTTCATGGGAGACTTGTTAAGTTGTATTGAAAGGTTTTCAGACATCTTAAAAAATAGCAAAACCATTACTTCTAATTAAATCTCAAGCTAAGACCCAGTCAGACTTTTGAATCCTCCTAGATAATTTAGCATAGGAAGCCCCTTACATCCCTGACTTTGAGTGCTCTGATCTCTGCTGCTGGGTTCTAAACATTTTTTTATACTCCTTAAAGCTACAGGTAGTTTGAAATCAATGAATGCTTTTGTTTATAAAAGTCTGATTACCAACTTTCATGGCCATCTGACATATCAAATAATTGCATTCCATTCATAAGAAGAAAAATACAATGAAAGGCCAAGTAATGAATTATGGAAGGGTTTCTTTTAACTCTGTTCTTAGTATTTTTAAGGCCTATGAGTGTCCACTTGTGCTGTTTGCCTTCTTTAAGCACTCTTTATCAAAGGACATAGGCCTCATTGCCTAATAATATTATATATTGTCTTATTGGTTACATATTGTCTTATTTTAAAAAGAATTTTTTTAACATTTATTTATTTATTTTATTTATTTTTTTTTTTTTGAGAGACAGAGCATGAGCTGGGGAAGGGGACAGAGAGAGAGGGGGAATCACAGATTCCGAAGCAGTCTCCAGGCTCCAAGCTGTCAGCACAGAGCCTGATGCAGGGCTCGAACCCATGAACCATGAGATCATGACCTGATCGGAAGTTGGCTGCCTAACCGACTGAGCCACCCAGGCACCCCTCATATTGTCTTATTTTAAAATGTCTTTTGGAATTCAGATAGTCTTATAGATAATATCTCAGAATCCCATTAATCCCTTTCAGGTAAATTTCTGTAAACTGTTTTCCTAGTTTTGTAGAGCAGTTTCTCAATGTAAGGTATGGTAGAGAGCTATTATAAATAATAACCCACTCACTGGCAGAGTTGGGAATGGAATGTAAATTTCTAAACTTTTCAATCTCATCTCCTAGACTCCTTGGTTTTATTTGTCTCAACAGATTTCAACAATGAAAACCTTAGTAACTATGATGCCTGACACAAAGAAAGTACTGACCAAATAGTAATTTTTTAAAAATGTCTTTTATAGCTAGTTCTTATTGTGATTTTAATGAAACTGAGTGTGTAATTGCAAATGAATAAAGCCATACTATATAAAAACACAACTCAGGAAGAGAGAAAAACATCCAGCTCCTCTTTTTTAAACTATCCACTCTGCTCCATTTTGGAACTAGCTTTATGGAGCTGAGGATCAGCCCATGCATCTTCTTGGGATTCTCAGTCTTTTTTTTTGTTTGTTTTGTTGCTTAAGCTGCTGTATTTTGTGTGCCACAAATCCGTTAAGAGAAATATATGTTTTACTGCTTCCCACTAGCTTCATGTTATATAAAGAAATGAAAACATAATTAAGAGTGTATGCTCTTCATGTGCTTTATTTTGTCATTACCTGAAAGCAAGCTTTGCCTTTAGAATATGGGTAATAATTTGACAATAGTCACATGGTTTCAATTTTTTTCAATTTATAGCAATTTTTCTTTATTTCTTTTCTATAGTCTGTAACTGTAACAGTGGCAAATTCAGACACAGCGAATGACATTATCAACATGTCACTACCAATGCTAGGAATAACTGTAAGTTGCCTGCAAACTATTTTTAGTTAAAAACCAACCTTGACCTTTGAGATTTGTGTGTATGTATGTGAGTGTGTGTTGTGCATCTCCCATTATAAAGCAGCTGATTATTAAACATATCATAGCCATATTTTGCCCCCCACCCCAAATTGAGAAATTGAAGGCAGTGAAGCTATATACATGGGCGCTCTTCTGGTATTTCCATTTTCAATTTTGTGCAAATTCAAAATCAGAGCAAAAAATTGGGCTATAATTTTAGAGTGCTAATAACAACATGCAGTTCACTGTAGACATTCTATACATAGACAGTAAAATATTTCAAAATTTCTAAATATTTCCTTCTCTAGTGGACTCTTCTTTCTGTGTCATCTTTCCTGATTCCTCCTCATCACTATTTACCCTGGTCATCACCCAAGGACTCAATCTCAGCTTAATGAGTCTTAAATTACATGTTTTGCTGTAAATGTTGACATGAAGACCACATGGCTAGAAGCTACATCCCCTTGATATAGGTCCTAAGGATGAGACTGCTAATGCCCCTTTGGAACTAGTAAAGAAGACAAGTTCTGACTGAGACCATGGATCTGGGGGCATCTGTGTACACATCACTTTCATCCAGTTTTGTTTCAGCTCCTTACGTTTTGATGGGGCTAGTATGAGTTGCTGATTTTTTTTTTTTTAATGAAAGAAATGGGTACATATATATTTTTTAATTTTTGTAATGTTTATTTTTGAGAGAGAGAGAGAGAGAGAGAGAGAGAGAGAGAGAACATGAGCAGGGGAGGGGCAGAGAGAGGGAGACACAGACTCTGAAGCAGGCTCCAGGCTCTGAGCTGTCAGCACAGAGCTCGACATGGGCTGGAACTCATAAACCACAAGATCATGACCTAAGTTGAAGTGGGATGCTTAACTGACTGAGTCACCCAGGCACCCCAGGGTATATTTGAGGGGATGCTTTGTAAGGGAAAAGAGAGGGTGACAGTCAGGTTGACAAAACTGAGGGAGCACTTATAAAGCACAGCTTCTTATATAAAATCCTCTGTAAGTGTGAAAGTGTCTTGCTATTGTGACATGACACAATTACAAGATTTGTATTGAAATTCTATCTGAACCAATGGTATAATAAAGGCCCTTAAAAATTCAGGGCAACCAGAATTTGGCATAAGAACTCAATTATTTCTGTAAAAACAAAATTTAATAATACATTTGAAATAAAATTGAATTGATATGTAGTGAGTAAAACACATCTCTACATTGATTTCTAACAATGCTTATGATTGTATATCATACACATCTCTGTATGATATATACACCCTGCATAAGAATTAAATCTTGGAAAGAGAGTGAGTGGTTTTAGAGATGAAGTTGGGAAGACTGATTAATGATATTGTTCATTTTATTTCATGTTTATGATTTTCCTTTGCTTGAAGTGACCCATCTCACTAGACAACAATTTCCATTTTAATGAAGAACTGGGGTTATTTGTCTTATGTATGTCTGATTTAAGGGATTCCAACATATGTTTCTGAACCCCACCTTAACAGAAAAGATTCTTATTAGCTCTTACTTCCTATTTGCAATACAATTTTGAGCTGATTTAGCTGTGTGCGTGTGTGTGTGTGTGTGTGTATGTGTGTGTGCTTGTGATTGTTTCCATACCTCTGACCCTCCTCAAGGCAAGGCCATGATTTTTAATCAGAAGTCAAAGACAAGCATAGTACCTATCATCAACAACTCCATTTCAAACATATTTTACTTTATCCTCCTAGAAGACTCTTTAAAATAGTTCAGCAATCTTTATAATTTAGACTTGTTAGTTTCAAGTGGGATTTCCAATATTATTGGGCAATAATTCTTCACAGAGTAATTGTTTTCTGCCTCTGATTTGTTCTCTAGGTTAGAGTTCTTGTCCCTTCTCTCCCTGTAGTGGGGCTTGACTTCACTTCCTATCTCCTCAAAGCTTCTTGGGCATTTGTCTGCTCAGGGCTGTTGAGCTATTATGGCCTTTCAAGTTACTTTGCTCAGGAATCATCATGGCAGGGTGTGTGGCTCTCTGGACAATATGCGTGTCTGTGCAGGGACATTTGGAGGCAAAAGCCAACATTATCCAAGGAGTCTAGAGACAGCAGAAGGCAGGACTTCTGAGATTAGACTTTTCCTCCTTGGTGAAGGGGCACAACTGTGGTTTCTTATGCCAAGGGCCACCCACAAAGTGAGGGCTGGATTGCACTGTGGTTCTCCAGCCTTTATCAAGAAATGACAAGAATCTGAGAAGGTCTACTGGAGGCTGTGAGGGGAACAAGTTAACAAGTGTTGTTAACTCAAAAATTGCAGCTACCTCCATAGACCAAATAGCATTTATACTGGCCCTAATTCTTTCTTTTTCAAAACATAGAAATGCTAAGAAAATGTGTTCTTCAAGTACTGTGAAAGATTTGTTGTGATGCATAATCTTTTTGTTTCCAAGGGCTCTGAGAAAGACTATCAGCTGTGGGTCAGTTCTGGCAAAGGAGAAGCCCCACAACCACTAATTGGTAAGTGTCAGGGACAATCTAAGATGGGATTGAGTAGGTTCAGAATTGTAACTCAAGTCTCAAGGTAATGATTGTTCTGTCTTTAGCTTAAATACCCTTAAAAGTGAAAATCACATGCAGTATTCACTCATACATTTATCAAATAATTCCTGGGTACTTACTCTTTAGCAGGCACTGATAACATGTCTTCATTCAGCAGCTTATGGTCTAGTTAGGGAGAGAAATGTAAATTTTTCTTCTCTATCGTTTTTTTACCTGACAAATAGACATGTATTGAAAGTTTTTGTTTATTTTTTATTTACTCACTTATTTACCCACTTACTTAGGTATGAAATCAAAATGGATTGGAATTTCTTTTTCCCATACATTTATTTTTCATATTTCAGTCTTGAATTCCATTTCCTAACTACTAAGTAGCCTCTATTTTGAGAGTCCTCTAAAATCCAGTCATGTCTCTGAATCCAGGTATAAATATGTACCAAACACTTGTCCTGTGCCCATAAGTTTTTCAGCATAATAAAGAAAATGAGATAATCACATTTAAACTCGTCCAGTCTTCACTGACTAAACCACCTGTACTTTGCTGTTTCTCAAGCTTTTTCCAGCATGGTTCTTAAGGTTGTTGATAAACACATTGCACCTCTCCTAAAATAGTGATTAGCATGAGTGATCTAAAAAAGAAAAAAAGAAAAGGAAAAAAAAATCTTTGGATTAGCAAATTTATTCAGTGTTTACCAGAAATAGAAAAATTAAAACAAGAAGACAGGATCTGTAGCAGACCTTGAAGTACAGTAATGTATAGTAATAGTGACAATGATTTCTGCTTGAAATCTTAGAGCATTCCCTCTTATATGCATTTTTTATCCTTTTAATAATCCTGTGAGGCTATTACTCTTTTTCAAGTGATCTAAAGAATATCTTCAACTGACCTGGAAATCTAAACAAACAAATTTTTTCTATGAAACATATATTCTCAGAGAATCACCAACCACATAGCTGACTCCACCATTTAATGTTTTTGTGTTAACGTTGACATCTTGCAAAAGTAGTTCAGCAATAAAAGGGGAAAAAATTAAATACTTAAATATATTTATCTTAATAAAGTGCATTGATTTAGATAAAACAATGTAGATGATAACTTTTGAGACTTGGAACAGCTTCACGCATGAAGGCAGCTCTAAGGAATCCGAAGAGCCTGTCATTCATGATAATCCTTTAGCAGCATTTGAAACGTCTTTCTTAACATGCTCTCAATTCTCAATTGCGGATTAACTCCTGGCTATCTTGGTGATTTGGTTGTACTGCTGTCATAGAAGCTTCTTTTGCCTTAAAGGAGGGAAGTCACTGTGGTTCTCGTGAACCGAGCATTGATGTTTCATCTGTGCCAGATGAAAAGGAGCAGCAAAAGCTCCCCAAGTTACATACAATAATAAATCAGAAATGACAGAAAGAGAACTTTCATTCTATTCTTAAAAACTGAAATCTGTATCACAGCACAGGGTCTTTTGAAAGTTCTATGGAGAGGAAACAATTTAAAACATGAAAGAGCAAAACAAATCCCTTGGCAGGCAACTGTTCATGATTTGGGGTGTGGTTTTCCACTTTGTAAACACCATTTTGCACTTTGCTGCTGAGTTTCCAACACAGTACAGCCTTCCCTCTGATCCTTGCTTGCAGGACAGCCCTGGTAGGGAGGGTGGCAGTGGGAGGGAAGCACAAAGCATAAAGGCCACCCATCCCATCCCATCACCCTTGAGTAGCTCTGGCTCTAGAACTGACAAAAGGAAATGAAAAATCTGTTTGACTGATATCATGTGTGAGAGAATAGTGACCATAGCAAGTCTTAATACTGTGGCCAACTGGGGCACCTGGGTAGCTCAGTGGATTAAGTGTCAGACTTCAGCTCAGGTCATGATCTCGTGGTTTATGAGTTCGAGCCCCGCGTCGGGCTCTGTGCTGACAGCTCAGAGCCTGGAGCCTGCTTTGGATTCTGTGTCTGCCTCTCTCTCTACCCCTCTCCCGCTCATTCTCTCTCTCTCTCTCTCTCTCTCTCTCTCTTTCTCAGGAAATGAATAAATGTTAAAAAAAATTTAAATACTATGTTCAATTGTTCAAAAAATATTAATCACCAATTTTTATTAATATATTTACTCATTTCCTTATAAGTTTGTGGGTAAGCATTTCAAAGGATGAATGTAAGACTCAGAGGGGTCAAGTAGTTTGCCTAAGGTGTACAGATCTAGTTAGTGTCAAGGCAGAAACTAGAAGGCCTTAAATATTCTCAGATGGAAAGAGCAAAGCCAACATTGTGCAGAGCAATGCACTGATGAATCTATGTATTCCAAGCAAAGGAACATGATTTAACTTTTCTTTTCTCTTTTTAAAATCTTCTCCTTGAGCACCTGATTTCTGTAGCGTGTCCCCCATAAGAGGGTATATGGTGTATATGGGTATATGGGAGAGGAATCCCCAGGAGAATAGCAGCATATACCAATGTGATGCATACACTCATGTTAAGGTAGGTTTGATGACAGCCATCAGCACCAGCCTGAATTTACATTTAGACTTTTCTCCATTTAGGACATGAACATCCCTATGGAATTAAAATGAGCCATCTTCCATCTACTCCACTGCTGCCACAGGGACCAGAGGCCTCCATCTCTCCTTCCACCCTCCAGGAGCCCCTCCTTCCAAAGGAGGGGTTCCCAGAGATGCAAGGCCAGTTCATCCTGAAGCCCAGGCACCCAGTGCAGAACCAGCAAGGGAGAGGTGAGCCCCTTCCCTTCCTTCAAGTGCCTTCTTTTAGCTCATATCTCCACTCTTGAACACAAATTCATGACACAGAGCTTATTCTCCGTGTGGGGGTGGGGAGGGACAGTATAGGCAAGAACCCAATACCCACCCAGAATCAGGCTTAGAGAAACTCCAAAAGGTCTGAAATCAAGACCTGACTCACTTCTCGGAAGGCCGTTTGTTTTAATTCTTCTAGGTAGACCCTTACTCTTTTCTCTGTATCCCCAGAGCACTTTCCACATAGTATTGTGTGTGTGCACATCTGTGTGTCTTCTTAGAGCACAAGATTTTTATGGTCTAGAAACATGTTTTCCCTATTCCAGGGTTTTGTCTAGTATCTCAGGCCATCACAGGAGGTGTGATGTCTAGTCTATGTGGCTTAAACACACCTGGAACAGAAGAACTTCAGTGGAGTAAAGAGTTACAGAATTGAATTGCATTTATTCTGGGCTTAGGCTGAAGTGGCCTTGGGTTCTAGTTAGAACTGAACTCTTAATTCTACCCCCACTTGCCACGTCTGTTTCAGACCCATGTCAAGACTGGAACTAGATGATCTTTATGGTTAGGGCTTTTTAATCTTCTGTCTTACTATTTTTCCCTACCATGCCAATATTCCCTCATTGATATTTCATTCTCTGATGAAAATGTGATGTTAACCTGAGAAGCACTGGGGTCAAAAAAGGAAGTATTTTTATTGTTATTATCATTATTCTATAACCTCAAAGTTTCAAAAATTTTATTTTTTAATATTCATACTCTAACTCGATCATTAGGAAGTGCTAACCCAAATCTTGCCAGTACTGTTTGAGAAAGGATAGATTTCTATCGAGTTAGCTTGTTTAATCATTCCCATATTTTTCATGTCTATAGCATATATTTTTATTAGTCACAGAGGCAACATGAACTCTAACACCAAATAATGTACATTACAAAAGGTCCAGCTAAGCCCAAAAATGTCTTTGAGAAAGTATAGGACTTCAGATATACTTGCTTTTTTGTTTTTAAATGTTTGTTTATTTTGAGAGAGAGAGAAAGAGAGAGACAGAGAGTGACATGAATGGGGGAGGGGCAAGGGGAAAGGGGAAGAGAGAATCACAAGCAGGCTCCACGCTGTCAGTGCAGAACCCCACATGGAGCTCAGTCCCATGAACCATGAAATGACCTGAGCCAAAATCAAGAGTCAGATGCTTAGCCACTCAGACTCCCCATGTATTTGCTTTCTGTATATACTCATGGAGTAGCTAGATTTATGGCTTTGTATTAAGGGATACGACACTCTTCTTAAAAGCATTCTTAATTAAAGCTCAATAATGGAATATATTTGGATAGTTTTCCAAAAAATAAAACTAGGGTAAGAGTAGGGAAACCAGGTTGCATACAACAACTCAATTTATATATTAACTTGTATCTTAAGCAAACATTTGTACGTTTTGATGTACAGGAATCTCCTTCCAGATTTAAGAATGTATTTGCTTTCTTCCTTCACTCCTTTTAAAATGTCAGGGGTATGGACTTCAGGGTGGGAAGAGAGAGCCTTAGTTAGGCAAAGTGGTGGCATTCCTTCATGATTGCATACCTTCTAGAGGTTGCAAAATGAAACCGAGAATGGGAGTGAGGTCTCCTTTGGGGGGAAAAGACTGATATCTAGACTGCCCTAGGCCCTCTCAGCAAGGAAATTACTTTTATTAAGGCTGCCATGAGCCAAGCCTTGTGCTGAGTAGTACATTATATTTAGTTCAATGAGTTGTAGGTAGCATCATTTACGTTAAATTTCAGCAACCCGAAGCTTAAAGATTTTTGAGCAACTTGCCTAAGTGGCAGAACCAGGACACTTCTGGTTCTTAGATCTGGTCTCTCTGATCGAGCACCGTGAGTGTTGCCACCCATGTAAGTGGACATGGTGATGCCCTCACTACATCCCAGAGAAGCCAGTGGATGGGTGTTTAAGGGTATTTGGTGAAATGTTGCTCATCTGTTTATCCAAGTTGTAACTTGACTTTTCTCTGGACTTTTAAAGAGCTCAGTTATTTAAGCAGATTATTTAAACAAATGTTAAGGTACCTTATAAGGAAAACATTGATAGCTGAGCAGTAGAAACTTTGAACTCAGCTTTTCCACTGCTGATCACCTTTTCTTTGTAAAGCTCTTCTTCTGCATGCCTTTGATAGGGAGTGTTGGATAATTAAAAACCATCTCTAGGTAGCTTGGTGGGGTGTCACAAGAAACACAGCCACCTGGGGGCGCCTGGGTGGCTCAGTCGACTAAGTGGCTGACTCTTGATTTCGGCTCAGGGTCATGATCTTACAGTTCAGGAAGATCGAGCCCCAAGCTGGGCTCTGTGCAGGCAGCGTGGAGCCTGCTTGGAGTTCTTTCTCTTCTCTCTCCCTGCAGCTCCCCCTGCTCACATGCACTTGCATACACACACTCTTTCTCTCTCTCTTTCACAAAATAAATAAACTTGAAAGAAAGAAAGAAACAAACAAACACAGCCACCTGGATAATCTTCCCACATAGCCAGCGTGTAAAGACTACTTCCCATGGACCCCCTCTCCTACCCCCCGCCCCCGCATAAAGCCATCCATGGAGATGGCTCAGCGTAGAGGAGCCTCAGGCTGGCTGAGAAGTGGGGTCAGGCAGATTGTGTCATGAAAGGCAGATCCTTTTGATCAGAGACAGTGGAACATTCAGAAAACCAAAGAGGAAATCTAAGTCTGGGAGAAGACTTACTGTGAAAGCAGATGATTACCAAACTCTGCTTGATTTGAATACTCAATCTTTTTAGCTTTTAAAACTGGATCTGACACTTGAATCCACTGATCATACTTAACAAGAGGACACTAACAACTACAGGCTAAGTGCCCCATGATGCAGTATAATAGGTAGTAAATGGCACCAGAAGTATTGACCCTGAGTCTGATCAAGTCTCCAGTTTTAACTATCAGTTTGCTGGATATGGGGAAGAACACAGTAGCACCATAAGGATGGTATTAGCCAATTTCAGAATGTGGAGAATACTACACAAATGACTCAATTTCCCTCTTCTAGCCATAGCAATGAACATGCAGTAAAACATAAATGGAAAAAATTAAGGTTAATTAACTTCTACTACTACTCCTCTCATTTCTTCCTTAGGTTCAGGCCAGAAGACAGTTAAAAGGAATCCTTTCATAAACTGGGCCTTTAGGTGGGGCCCCAGAGCTTGCCAGGACAGCCAGTGCACAGCTCCACCTTCTGCAAAGCCAGCACAGCTCTTCGGAGTTTCCCTCATGGATGTGTGTGATAATGACCACCTGCCCTCCCCCATTCTGGTAGGTCTCATTTTGGTCTCTTGTTAGCCCTCCTGAGGAGGGGGAGCCCTGAGAGGCCAAGTGTTATCATCCAAATCTACAACCAAATGGAAAAATAATTAGCCAGTTCCTGGATTTGGCTGAGAAGCTTTGTTTCTATTACTTCAAAGAATAAAATCTGATTTAGGTACTGCAAAGTCATGAGGCAAATACAACAGGAAAAGATAACTCTTGTCCATTCTCCTTGTTTCCACAAAGATCCACATAGGCCTGTTCAGACCAGCCAAAATATGGACTGTGTGCATGAATCTCTGAGAGTCTATCTCATCTTCACATTCTCTTTTCATTGCCTTCCTGAGCTCATATTAGTCTCCTTCAGCTGAGTCTACTCAATCGTACAACTCAAAATATCTCACGAAGCATAGTGACTCATCTTCTGGCAAATATGAATCTGTTAATACTAATAGAATATGTCAAATGAAAGCCACAGACTTCGGCCTGTCCTATCTCAAATTGGTGTACTGAATTGTCAATGTTAACATTTATTGAGTATCCAGGGTTTCTCTGAGCACTATACTAGATGTAGGGAATGTTATGCTACATATGAAGAAATTTATGATGTTACTTACATGCTAGGTACTACCCCAGTCCCTGCATTACAGCAAATTTAGGGGGTAGCTATGAATATCATCATCCCAACTCACAAATGAATTAGAAAAGCCTCAGTAAAAATGTCTGTGCCCTGGGTCACACACCAGATAAGTAGCATAATAGAGTTCAGATCCTTTGGATTACCTGGCTCCAGCCCCTATTATCTTTCTACACTGCAGACAGAGGACATGAAGGTACAACTAAAGGCAATGAAAGACTCATGGGAAGGGAATGTAATCAGAGAAGGAGGAGAGAGTTTTTGAGCCTGATTTTAAAAGAGGGAAAGAAGGAGAAGAAGTAGGAATGGAGTATACAGTCACTTAAAGAGGAATAAGCAAATGGAAAATGAGCGTGGCAAAGAGATTCCCACACTTGGGGAATAGCATGTATGTAAGGGAACAATGGAAGAAGAATGGCGGGGTAGGAGAGAGAAGGGTGACACAGAGACTAACTTTTTAAAAGTATAAATTCACTGAAAAGGAAAAAATCTGATTAAAACAAGTGTTTAAAATGGTTTAGTGTATGACTGTAAAGTGTATTTTTGGGTAGACAATATATTTAAAGACACTGAAAAAACAAATCCAAATTTACTTTAGTCCTTCCAGCTCTAAAACACGGTACGGTCACATTCCCTAGCTCTTTCAAAAAGGAGGCAAGCTTGTGTTCTGAACTTATGGATATGAAATGTCATGTACTTTTCATTTCTTTCTATAGGATATGCTTTGCTTTATCAATCAAAAAGGGCCATTCACAGAAGGCATCTTCAGAAAATCAGCCAATATGAAATCATGCAGAATCCTGAAGGAGAAACTAAATTCTGGGGACAAAGTGAACTTGGACAGTGAATCTGTTCTTGTGGTAGCATCTGTCTTAAAGGTAGGGAAAGTTCTAGCATTATCTACACACGAGTAACTGAAGCTATTATTGGTGTCCTTCATCATGATTGCCCAAGAACCATAATAGGCATAATAGATTAAGTATCTGACAAACTGAAATACACGTCACAAAGTCAAAATTTAAAGAAGCTACTTTAGGAGTTAAAAACCCCATATTTCATCACACCCCACCCTCCCCACCTTCACTCCTGAAGACACCATGCAAAGTACTAATACTAGTAATAATAAATTTAAAAAATATACGCTTACACACACAGAATATTTACCAAAGCAAATGTCCTGCTTTTGATGACTTTCTCACCACCCTCATAACAATGAAGGCAAAGTTTCCAAAAGAAAATTCATATTAAACATTTGAAAATAAGTTTATGATCAAAAAAGGCTCAATGAGGCCACCAAAATTTCTGTCCACTTAATCACTCTTTCCCATGTTTTTTAATGTGTTGTACTTTAAAAGCATAGGAACGACTTTACCAATTGTGCCTTTCACCTTTACCATCCTTGGCATCCTTTGTTAATATTTGTCATGTTTTATCCACCATCCCAAGGTTAAAACTACATGATAACCATTTCCTGCCACATGCCTCTTCTTATAAATCTAACTTTTAAACTGGGTGCAATAGACAAAATTAGTTTGGAATTCTGAAAATTCAATGGATTTACACAAAAAATAGATTAATTTTGAAATGCTACAGCTAAATCACAAGTATCCAGTTACATTTCTATAAGAGGAATAATAGAACAGAGAACAAACTTAATCCATCTTGACACTTGTTAACAGCTCTGAACAAAAATATGTTAATGTAGTAATGACTACAAACAAGTTACTAAAATTATCTTAGAATCTCAGTCACGTTTGGTCTTTCCTGATCCCCCATTAATGTTTGACCATATGATAAATAGAAATAGTCCAGAAATGACTTAGCTACCACAACTACACTGGGGCCATAGTAATATATACCAGTAATATACATAGAGGCATCAAGAAACAGGGGAAAGAATGATGATACACCAGGTATGCAAATAGTAAGATGAGTGTTGCCTTGCTTTTCTACCAAGAGTTTGTAGATTCTTTCCTATTTCCATGTTATAAGCACAGACTAGGAAGGGGGTGGCCACTTATGGATATGGTTCATAGACATTTCTAAAGTTTTTTCTTCCTAAAGTTGACTGATCTTGGTGGAGAATCAGGCTTTGCAACCTCGACCTTCATAATATCATGTCAAACTAACTGGAGAATTGGCCTAAACTAGAAAGGAATATATCACAAGGATGACAATGAGTTTGCCATTAGACTGTCTACTTTTATACAGTTAAGAAAAGGAAAAATGATGCAAGTATGAGAGTAGCATTCTCCCAAGGAGCACATACACCTCAAGTCAGAAGACTTAGTTCTTTCTTGATATGTATGCAAGAGCACACGTGTGGTTTTTTGTTTGTTTCAGTACTTTTCTTGCTAGAATTAGGAGCTAGCACTGTGTCTAAAGAGCTAGCACTGTGCTATTTGCTATTTGCAAAAATGGGTATGTGTATTTCTGTACAAGAAGCAAATAGAATTTAAGATGGTCTATCTCTGGACCTGTCACTTTGTAGTAGTTTGTTAAAATGTACACAAAAGAGTAAATTACAGATGATAGAAGGGAGCTTTATCTTCATTTCTACCAAAGCCTCGGCTCTGCTTTTATGCTCTTAAGTTTTAGTTGGGAAAAAATCCAAGCACTGCTTGTGTGTGTGCAAGTCAATGGAGAGTGAGAACCGAGCTCTGTGTGGGTCACAGTTTGGGTATCTGTGAAGGAATGGGGACTGAACTCAATTTTTCAACTAAATGTTTTCCAGTATATATTTTCTATAAGAATTATATTTATTTACTTATTTATTTTTATGTACGTAAGGATTTTCTTCGAAATATCCCAGGAAGCATATTTTCATCCGATCTCTATGACAAATGGCTTGCTGTTGCTGATCAAGGGAATGAGGAGGAGAAAGTAACTGCAGCCCAGAGGTAATGATGTAGTAATTACTCTACTCTGGGCATGTCTGAAAAATACAACCAACGTACTATTAGAAAAATATTGGCTTATAGTTTATAGCTTTGTCCACTAAAATAATGCCAAAGAGTTTCAATTCTTCACACCCATGGAGGCCAACTTAAAAACAGAGGCATGCCTTAATGCTATTATTGAATTCTTATGTTTCTCCTGATCTTATTAATGTGGAATCCCTGACCATGTTATAGCTTCTGAATATATGAAACTGGTAGACAAAATCCACTGAGCTAAAAGGGCTGCTCCAGCATCAACTGCCAGTGATACGAACTTCAGTTTGTCAAACATTTAACCAGAGAAGTTTTATCTGGTTCAGGAACTGAATTCAGTGAAACATTATTGTATACGTTCATGCCTGGCACTCCGTTACAGTGGGTTGTGTTCTAGATACACAATGAAGTACTCTGTTCCCTGTCTTTATATTTCCAACTTCCTAAGTGAAATGACTTGCCTTATTTGAAAGTGCATTTTTCTAACTTTAGGCTGTTAGACCAGCTGCCAAGAGTGAATGTTGTTCTCTTGCAATACCTTTTTGGAGTGTTATACAATATTGAGCAGCATTCCTCATCCAATCAGATGACAGCTTACAATTTATCAGTGTGTATAGCCCCAAGCATTCTTTGTTCATCTAATTCCTGCAGCTCGGGATTAGAAAGCAACTTCATAAAAAAGGTAATGAGAGCTTTCATTTTTATCCTCTGCTGAGTAGAATCCCTACTTTGAACCTGAAATTTGCAGTAGCAACTCTGATGGATCAGTTTTGTAAAGTGCACATTTTTGTCATGCTGCCCTGAAGTGGCAGGGTCCATTGTCTTGCTCTGGTGGGGTATGGCAAGGGGTGTTGTTAAGTGGGGAACTCAGAGCAGTTGAGTGGCTTTGTCCCCATCCAGGAGACTAAACACTAGATTGCCTGAACAAACCAGAGAGGAGTGCCATGATACAACAGAAAAGAGCCTGGGCTTTGGAGTTTGACAAGTCAAGGTTCAACTTTTAGCCTAATCCTTGAGGGACATGCAACCTTTGGGCAAAGCCATGGTTTCCTCAGCACACAATGGTGACCACATCCAGCTCCTCTGGTCATTACTGGCACATCTTAGGTGGCTTGGGCAACATGAGCACCCATGGCTCCAAATACATCGGCCTTCCTCTGCCAGTTGTGGTTCATTTAGAAAAATACATGGCTACTATTTTGCATCTGCTATGTCATAAGGAAACTGGTAAAAGATTCCAGAATATCCTAATGGAGCCACAACATGCTTAATAAGATCACAGCTCTTCCCCAAGCTCACCCAGAAAGTGAGCGTGAAGCAAGGTGATACATGAGGAAGTACTGCAGTTAGACAGACAGCCATGTTTTCTCTCCAGCTGCATGAGTTTTCCTTCACACACACACACAAAAAACGCAGAAGTCACTGCTTCCTAAGTTTAAGATACTTCTTCATTTAAGAAGTGGATTTCATAAGTTTTTGTCAATGCTTTGTTGTTTTATTTTTTTAAGGCTTATTTATTTATTTTGAGAGAAAGAGAGAGAAAGAGAGCAAGGCAGGGGCAAAGAGAGAGAGGGAGAGAGAGAATCCCAAGCAGGCTCCTCACTAGCAGTGCAGAGCCTGACTGGGGCTCAAGCCCACAAACTGAACCATGAGATCATGACCTGAGTCAAAATCAAGAGTCAGACGTTTAACCGACTGAGCCACCCAGGCACCCCTGTCTATGTTTTATAAATTTTAATAAGATGTTATATATGTCAGTTACAGCTCAATAAAACTGGAAACAAATTTTTTTGAAAAGAAAAATTTAATAAGGTAGGTTATACTTTGAAAATTATCCTAGTTTTCAAGATGTAACCATTGATATCAAAATGTTAGCTATTAAACAAGGTCACAAATTATAACTTTAGCCCACTTTTGAACAGCATTTTAAAATTTGTACCCAAATTATACTGGAAAGTATCACAGTTATTACTTAGAGAACTCTGCTTTCTATATATTTTTATCAACTCTGAATTTTTCCTCAGAATTCTTTCACATTTTTTGTTAGAATCCAAGATTCACATACAAAATGTGACTTGTAACTATGCCATATGAAAAAAAGTGCCTCATTTTTGTCTTTTTGTGTTACAGGTTTCTCTTGTACAATTTCTCATTGAAAACTGCCTCAAGATATTTGGGGAAGACATCACTTCCCTCTTGGGAGAGAGCTCAACGAGCTGTGATAACAGCGAGAATGCTGTAGGTACCGTGAATAATTTAATTGGCTTTGGTAAGAAACAGACAGCAAGGTTGTCAGGGTTCATGGGAGATGCTTAGCCAGTGCTGTTCTAGAGCCCAGAGCACATCCCCAGGGCAATGATTTCCATCTGCGCCTTCTTCCGAAGTCTGGTTCACAGGTCAAGGGAGGTCTCACCTTGTTGTGAGACCAAAGAAAGGATAAGATGAGGTCTCTGGCTTCAAGAAGTTTCTACTGTGGATCATGATAGCATTAGGAGACATGATGGTATGATATAGTGTTTGGGAATTTTTTCAAACAAAATTTTAAATGGGTCCCGTATATATATATTATATTTTTATATATGTAGTTATGTATAATACATAATTATGTATTTATATTTATAATATATAAAATATAAAAATATTTTACACATATATACATGTGTATATATATGTGTAATATATATGTAGATATAAAATAGATGTGATTTGGTCAAAACCAGAGTGAGTGGCACGGAGCACTGCCTGTTTTATTCCCTCCTCTTTCCTTTTTCTGCCCAGTGATCCCTGGGGCACCACAGGATTCCAGTGCTCTTTGAAACAGGTTGGAAATAACTGGCATCATTGAGAAAAAAGGACTTGACTTGATGCTAAACAGCCTTTCCAAAGTATAAATTCCTGTGCCCCTGTTTACCAACTATGTTACCTTTGGCCAATTATACTAGCTCAGTATCAGTTTATTCATCTCTAAAATGTGGATGGGGGCACCTGGTGACTCGGTTGAGCATCCAACTTTGGCTCAGGTCATGATCTCATGGTTCGTGAGTTCGAGCCCCACTTTGGGCTCGCTACTGTCAGTCTGTCAGCACGGAGCCCAATTCGGATCCTCTGTCCCCCTCTCTCTGCCCCTGCCCCCTTTGGCTCTCCCCAAAATAAAATAAATATTTAAAAAATAAATAAGTAAAGTGTGTATGAAAATAATGTCTAAATCCTAGAACTGTTCTAAAGATTAAGTAAGAGAATGGATGCAAAATAAATTTGTAAATAAGGAATTAACAGGGCTAGGAGAAGTTCCCCTGAGACTAGAGCTAGTATTATTTTGAACCTAGTGAGTCACAGCTACCTGGCGGCAGTCCATTTTATAAGACTGCTTAATTTTATATATATTTCTTATATTTCTTTAGGAACATACATGTCTTCAGTAATTACGATGAGTCTAGTGTCAGGTCTGAGAATGTACTTATATAAGACAACTGTGTGTTTTTTATTTCATCAGTGACAGCACAACAACCTCTTGAATCCAAGCCAGCGGCGGTGATAGTGATTTACAAAAAGGCACAACTGCAGGATAATACCAAGACTTCATCTGGCATGGATCCACATAGCCACCTGTCTACAGTTCTCAAAGTCACTGAAGACTAGAATCTCCATAATGACACTTGATCCTTCCTTTTCCTCTATTTCATATAAAATAGGAAATATAAAGAACTCTTTCCAATGAATGAAAAATGAGCCCCTTCCAAGGCCCCAGTTTATCCCGTTTGAGTTTTTCTTTTCCTCGATCCCATTTGTCCCTATTGAGGTAAGCTTCCCACAAAATATCTCTTCTATCTTCAATGCCTACCACATCATATTATATATTTATTGTATTGTTTTGCATTGTATAGTTTTATATTAATACAATAAAAATCACTCCCTAACTCAGTGGATCAAATGACCGTTTTATTTACTTATGATTCATATTATGAATTCCATGTATCTAATGGATTCATATTAACACTTCAATGGAGGCCATCTGAGCAGTTCTGTCTCCTCTAAGGTCATTTGTACACTTGAACTAAGCTTGCAGTTCATCCTGAGTTAACTTAAGTGTCTGTATATTGGTGTTGACTCTCATGTGGTCCCCATGTCTTCAACAAGCTAGCCTGGCCTGCATATGATAGAAAACGAGCTTCCAGAAGCAAGAAGCTAATGTGGGAGAGGACTGTGCAAAGGATCATGCAGAAGACAATGATTTTCAAGACAAAGAGGCATTATTTATTGAGATCACACATGAGCATCAAAACTCAAGGCAGCACCACTACCACTCACATCCTTTTATCCGTCAGCTTTTTTTTTTCAATCTTTATTTTTGAGAGAGAGAGAGCATGAACAGGGGAGGGACAGACAGGCAGACACAGAATCTGAAGTGGGCTCCAGGCTCTGAGCTGTCAGCACAAAGCATGATGCAGGGCTCGAACTCCCGGACCGCGAGATCATGACCTGAGCCGAAGTTGGATGCTTAACCGACTGAGCCACTCAGGCACCCCTACCCATCAGCTTTTAATCAATTCTGTACACTGGAATTTCCTAAAGGGCATTCCAAGTGTAGTAGGAAGTATCTTTGAAATAATTGATTTTTACTTCAAGTATTCCTTGAGTATATCCTTCCCCCTGTCCCAAGCTGTCTTAAGAGACATTTCCCTAGGGAATAGAACCCTAGCAGAATATGAGGAAAAGGGAGCTCTTTGTTTCTTCTGAAATTTTAAAAATATAGCTTTTTAGGAAACAAAAATGACTCATGGCATAGAGTAAAATATTTGTGTGGAAATCTCATGGGAAAATCCCCAAACCATTAGATACATGGACATCAGCCCAATTTCCTAGAAACCTAAAGAAAGCAGGAAGCACTCATAGAATAGCTAAATTTCATGATAAGAAAGATGGGGCCCTGTATATTCACACAGTTTCTTGTATATAAACATGGAACAGATCAGTAAGTGGTATTCCCATCAATCTCAGAATACTATGAAAGAAATAGAACCACTGGATTTGAAAGACATGTCTCAGCAACAATAGTACAAATCAACTCCCCAGGACCAGATAGCATTTAGGACATCACAGCAGATACTAGCATATATCAATGACACTGAGCACCAGATACACACCACCCCACCATTTCACAGCCTCCTAAAACCTTGGCACTGGAAGACCCCAAAACACAGACACTCACAGAGGAAATTAAGAGATCCTGAATTTCTACCAATCTGGGAACAAAGGACCAAACTAGATACGAAGTGAGTTACTTAAAAATACAAAACTGTACACTTCTTAACATATTGGTCAATGTATAGACCAAGATTAGTCCCAACACATATAGAATAATTGATCCATGCATTGTTTTCCCAGAAAGGGTTCTCTGGTCAAATAAGGTTGGGAAATGCTGGATTTTCCTTTTGGCAGTCAAATGTCCATTAACATATTAAAGTCTTAGAGAAGACCCACAGTAAAAGCAAAAACAAAAACAAAAAAACAGCATTTTCCACATTTATTTGATAGTACTTGACCCTTTTGGAGGAGCTCCATTAATTAATGATGCTGGGAACATACATTAATAAACATTGCACTAGGGTCAGCTGGGTGGCTTGGTTGAGTGTCAACTCGTGATTTCAGCTCAGGTCATGATCGCAAGGTCGTGACATAGAGCCCTGCATCAGGCTCTGCACTAAGGGTGGAGCTTGCTTGGAATTCTCTTTCTCCCTCTCTGTCTGCTCCTTCCCCCACCCCCCCCCCCACTCTCTCTCTCTCTCTCTCTCTCTCTCTCTCTCTCTCTCAAAATAAACATTCAAAAATAAATAAATAAAAATTGCTCTAAATTTGTTTCTCCTTAAGTCACAGATTTTATCATTTCACTCTACTAAGAAACCATCAATGGACTTCAAATAATCTTTAGATTTTTTTCTTTTTTTCAGAAAAATGTCCTTTCAAAGAGCCTCCACAACGCAACCTCCTCTAGTGATCAGTTTTGTCTTTACTCTTTCCCTCTGTAAATCCTTTGCTTTAGCTAGGTCAGACACTTCACTGGTCCCTGAGCAAGTCACACTCATTTTCCTAACTATAATTCTCACCTCTCCCTCATCTCTACATTTCCACACACTAGCTAGGTAGCGATTTGGGTTCTCCACTCCCAGAAATTTCACAAAGCCTTCCTGATTTCAAATTAATTGTTCTTTTATAACACATGAGCACTTGACCCTACTACATTGGCTCATATGCTGCTTTGCACCATCAGGATTTATGCTGGTAGGTTCATATATCATCCAGCCAATCCAAATTCCTGTGGTAAACAACTGTATTTTGTGTTAGTTTTATATTACTTTTAGGGACACCTGGGTGGCTCAGTCGGTTAAGTATCGACTCTTGATTTCAGCTCTCTTATGGTTCGTGAGATTGAGCCCCATGTCAGACTGTGCCGAGTGTGGAGCCTACTTGGGGTTCACTCTCTCCCTTTCTCTCTCTGTCCCTTTCCCACTCATGTTCTTTCTCTCAAAAATAAAAATAAATATTACTTTTTTAAGAAGTTTATTTATGTTGAGGGGGTGAGAGTACATGCAGTCTCATGCGAATGACGTAAGGGCAGAGAGAAAGGGAGAGAGAGAATCCCAAGCAGGCTCTGCCCTGTCAGTGCAGAGTCCAGTGCAGGGCTTAAACTCATGAACCCTGAGATCATGACCCGAGCTGAAATCCCAAGTCAGATGCTTAGCGGACTGAGCCACCCAGGTGCCCCAATATTATATAACTGTTAATGCCTGGGTTTATGTCTACTCAAAAAATGAATGAATGAATATGTTCAATTCTCTAAGTGTAGAGATTTTACACAGATTGGTAACAACTGCAGATTTTTAAACTGAAGAGGTAGAACACAGCACATATGAAATTTCAGTGGGTGGCAATAAGACATCAGTTTGACTAATTTTTTTTTAGCTATGACTTCACAGCCTTATTCACAAGTTCTGAGATATACTATTTTTACTCATTATGCAAAAATGTGATATTGATGTAATATGTTTAAGAATAATTGCATGTTTGTATGAAATCTCTTTTAAACATCGATAATCCAGAATAAAAGGGGCAAAAAAACATGAGTAGGTAATGTATCTGTGAGTTTTTAAGCCCAGGAAGATATAAAAAACATTGAAAAGAAGACATACAAACAACAGGAAATAAATAAAAGCTGAAATTTAACTGATTTGTCAAATGCAACTCATAGAGGAGATTCTTGACATGGGGAAATAGTTCATAAATGTTAGTTTTTCCCTCAGGGTACTCAAACATAGTATCTCTCTGAGAACAGCAATTTCTTTATTTTTTTATTTTTTTAATTTTTTTTTAAACATTTATTTATCATTGAGAGACAGAGAGAGACAGAGCGTGAGCAGGGGAGGGGTAGAGAGAGGGGGAGACACAGAATCTGAAGCAGGCTCCAGGCTCCAAGCTGTCAGCACAGAGCCCTATGCGGGGCTCAAACTCACAAACTGTGAGATCATGACCTGAGTTGAAGTCGGTTGCCCAACCAACTGAGCCACCCAGGCACCCCACAGCAATTTATTTCTTAATTTTGAGGAAAGACCCTAGAAATGCCAATAAACTGTAAAAGGACTTACCTGCCTAATCTAGAATGAGTACAAGGCAATTAGACTTCTGATATTGGCCTTTACCATACCTGGAAGTAAGATCTGTGTCATCATCAGTCAGTCTGCACTTAGTGATGTAATTAAGGTCAAACATCTCCAAAAGTAAAATAAAGGGACTTAGCATGACTATCTTATTCCAGAAAGAAAGCTACTCACAGGCTATCAATATCAGAAAACGATTCTCATGGATGGTCAGGGTTAATTATCATGATAAAATAAATGGAATATATATAAAATCATTCAATTTTTATTCCAAAAAAGCAACATGTAAGAATTCAGTAAATGGAGTATAAGTACAAGAAGCCACCTTTTTTCAGTGAGCACCAAGCAATACCTTTTATATTTTTCTATAATTGTTTCCATGCTAGCTGAATCATCCAGTAAATACTTGAAAGATTTACAGTGGATGGTGACTCTATTTTCCAGTTTTGTTTTCTTTTGCTCATCCATAGCATAATTGGTGCTAAGAAAAAAAATTGGTTTCTTTATGGTCTGGGCCTAAATATCAGTATTAATTTAATTGGCTTAGTTTTTTAAAGAATGAAATCATTCTTTTGTCAAGTAAAAGAAATGACTAGAAAACCAAATTGTAAATGGAAAGTTATAACTTCCTAAAATGGAAAAAGAAACTGCTTCCTAAGAATGGGAGTTTTTCCAAAATGTAAAGGTATAAAACTAGTTGGGAAAGAAAAAACAAAACAAAAACAACACTGTCTTCAGGATAATGGTTACCTCTGTGGAAGGAAGGGAAAGAATGGGATAGAGGAAAGGTGACAAACTTCAAGCACACATAATATTAATTTATTTTTTTAATATAATTTATTGTCAAACTGGCTAACATACAGTTTCTTGAGAGATTTGAAAATGCTAACATTTTGCCATGTGTTTCACATTTCTTAAGATCTTAAGAAAATGTTATAGGTAACTTTATTATGTAAATATCCACACATACCCATGCATACACACACACACACACACACACACACACACAATTTGTAGATATAAACATACAAAACATTTTGAAATGAAGTAAACTACAGAAATTTTTATCATTCGACAATTTTCTTTTTAACATGTTTTTGTGATTCCACTATACTGATACATGTTGACCTGGTTCACCCAATCTAGTCACTGGATAGTATTCCATTATGTGATAATGCACTTATGTATGTACACATCTATCTTTATCAAACTTTCTAGAGGCTTGCCTAGTTTACTAGCTTTCAAGTAAATAGATTTTAAAAATTATCT